TCACTTGGTTTGGATCCAAAGCAAGGTTTGAGAATTTGGATTAGAAATCAAGGTTTGAAATGAGGAATGGGCATTTGGAGGGAAATCTGAATTTTTAAAGGGTTCTAGATCCTTCCCAAGTGAAAAAATGAAATTCAAATGATCAAAATGGGACTCCAAGAGTGGCTGGACTTGAAAATTCACGTACAAGGCAAAAAATACACAAGTTAATCGGTTAACGCATATGGTTAACCGGTTAACACTGTGAAAACTTGTAAAATTAGCCTGATTTTGATTGTGTTAATCGGTTAACCATATGTGTTAACCGATTAACACCTTCAAAATTTTGAAATTGGCGCCTTTTGGAGGGAAACGTGTCCACTTGTCCGTTTTCAACTGTTTGGATATCTGTTAAGCCTCTGGAACTCGTTTTCGATCCTCCTGACTGTGAAACTGCTTGAAGTATCCTGAACACTAGAAATTAACCTGCACAATAAAAATAAAATCGACCGCTCCATCGGGCAAAATAAATGTCAACTGCTGCTTTAATTGCTTGCACTAAAGGTGAATTCTGAGCCACAAGAAAACTTTGATCCCCTGTCTCAAGAACAAATGCTATGCAATGCATAAATGCTAGAAAAAAATGAAATGAAACAAAAGCCAAGTTAAGAAAAGGTTGGTCAAATTTTGGGGTGCAACAACATGGTCCAGGAAGTCTCATGCCTTTTATTGAGATATTATTCTAATATTTTAGAAGAGCCTTAATCCATAAGGTACTGCTTCATAAGAGTTAGAAAGTCCCACGTATAACATTTGAGGTACTGCTATGTTATTCCCAAAGAGCCTTATTTTATAAGATACTGCTTTGCATGGATCAGAGAACCTCATCTGTCTTTGAGACATTGCTTTGCATGGATCAGAGAATCTCATTTGTCTTTGAGACACTGCTTTGGTTTTTCTCTGAGAGCCTAATTCATAAGGTACTGCTTCGACCCCAAAGAATCTTATGTTTTGGTAAAGATGTTGTTCTAGCACTCCTGAAGATCCTTCACTAGGTACTGTTTCACATAACCTAGAAAGTTTTATAATATTGTTTGAAACACTGCTTCGTTAAAATGGAGAGTCTCATTTTATAGAGATACTGCTTTGACATCCTTAGATAGCCTTAATTTGTAAGGTACTGCTTCATTTGACCCAAATAATCTCATGTTTTGGTTGAGATATTGTTCTTGGAGATCCTTAATCAATAAGGTACTACTTCACATGATATGAAAGTCTCATGCCTTTCGTTGAGACATTGTTCTAATATTTTAGAAGAGCCTTAATCTATAAGGTACTGCTTAACATGGTCCAGAGAGTCTCATATCTTTTATTGAGATACTGTCTTAGCATCCTTGGAGAGTCTTAATTAATAAGGTACTGCTTCATACGGTCTAGGGAATCTCGTACCCTTGCAGAATTTTGCTTTGAATATCCCTGGAGAGCCTTAACCAATAAGGTATTGTTTCATACAATAATAAAGAATATCCTTGTTAAGCTACCCGAAGAGGCTTAATTCATAAGGTATTGCTTCGTGCGACCTAGAGATTTCATTTGTGTTTGAGATATTGCTTTGACAGTCCAAAGAATCTCATGTTATTTCATTTTTCTTACGTCATCCTTTTAACTTTACTTTTTTATCCTTGATGGACAAACTTCAGGGTTTTCTTATATCTAATTAACTTTTACCCTAAAAATGAACGTTATGCAATAGTTCATTCTCTCGGGTTCAAGGCAATTAGATAGGGACATCTGGCATACCCCAAATTTGTCATACCTTTGTAAGCTTTCTCTCTGTAAGATGATCTGGTCTTTGACCATAATCTTCTGAGAATTTAGGTCATAGGATCTTGTGCGTGTATTCACCATGACTAACTAATTTGTTCAGATGCATAGATTTCATGTATGGACAATATTTGTTCTCACAGCCAATTGCTTCAAGATATGACTAATGGATTATGATTCAAGATACCCTAATTTTGTCCGGACATTTTAAAATTTTCATTTATTTGACTTTATTTTTTTACTTTTCATAGCATAACATGCATTTTATCTCGCATAGTGTCTAAAGTGTCACCCGAAATAATTTTTCGAATTTACAGGCAGACCAGTCAAATTAAATCTCAATTGTGCGTAAAATCAGTGGATGAAAACAAATTCAAAATCGAGCTTGTAGATCTCAATTATATTAATTTATGGTTCACGTAGTTTAACTTGACGTGCTCATTTTATTTTTCGACTATTTTTCGATCGCATTTTGATCAGTTTGAGCATTTTAACGGGTCAAAATTTATTTTAAAATCTGACCAAATGTTGTATTTTTCTAATCGTTTATTTTGCGTTGTTCATTTTAATGTACTTGATTTATTGTTCTGAGCACTTGGGCGTCCGACTTTTATTTATTTAGAGTCTACTTATTTTTACTTTTTTATCTAAATATTTAAAATAAATAAATAAAATTATTAATTTTTATTTTAAATTTATTTTAATTATTTAATTTTAACTAATTATATTATTTGAGCTTTAAAATAAATATTAAGGACATTATTAACCATTTACAGTTAACCATAATTTAGTCTCTATATATGATGTTGCTGAATGAAAGGGTACCCAAAAAAATATCTAAAAACTGCGTAGCATTGGAGATACCGCTACTATTTATTAACACCTGCCTGTTGGTACTGTTTCAATATATGTTATTGCTAATCTACGGTTTGATATTTCATGGAGTACTAATATATATAATGTCCCCCGCACTGTTCATAGTTTTCATGATATATATATATATATATATATATATATATATATATATATATATATATATATATATATATATATATATATATATATATATATATATATATATATATATATATATATATATATATATATATTATTCTGCCGCACTGTTCATCACTTTTATAATATATTATATTTTAATTTATGTTTTGATTTATTGTTCAGATCGAATCATGTTTGATACACTGTTCACATATTATGTGCGCGATGCGTGATATTTATGTTTGGTTCGATCTGATTACGATGATCACATTTTTGCGTTAGCAACGTTATTATTTTAAAACGTTAAAAAAAAATTTGGAGTTTCTTTTTGATAAATTTAGATCCGCATAAGTTTGATCCCTATTACGATGATCACGTTGAGTGTAACAAACTATTGATCGATCTTATTAATTTATGTGCGGTTCTATGATTGGTTATTGTTGTATTTTGATTTTGTGCACACATTCGATGGTTTGGCCTAGCGGCAATTACTTGTTGTGCATCGACCAATTCGTGTTTCGATTCGCAACTTGTGATTTTCTTTAATTTTATCTTGTTGATTCTTGATTCGACTTGCGAGAATCACTTATGCGGTAGCAATTTGTGTTTTTATGTTAAGAACAATGATCTAACATCATTGTGTTTAGGTTCGATCTAATTTCTCTTTATAGCCTTGAACGTTTTCGTGCACACGACCTTGATTCGTGTACTTGCGTCATGATTTTAATCCGTATACTTTTTGTTTCAATTTACATTTTTATTAATTTGATGTGTGATGCTAATATTTTGTACGCATCTTATTTTTGTTAACGCCTTAATTGATTTTAAAACTAATTCTTGATTTAATCAAGTCACTTTTAAACCCTGTAAGTCGATTGTTTCTACGATTGTCATCAACCGAACCCAAAACATTCTTGATTCATATATCAAGTCATACCTCAACTTATAAGTCGATTGCTTTTTAGCATCGCCATCAACCTCATGCCAACATTTTCTCTCTTTCTTTGATTGCGGTTTCGTTTATTAGGAGCACCCTTAGGGATTAGGATTCGACCTAACTTTTTTCCAAACCCTTGATCCAACGTCAAATGGTTACTTCTCTCATAAATCAGTTGCCTTTTGTAATCGCCATTATGCTAATTCAAACCTCGATCGTACATCGAGTATTTTTCTTAAAACTAAAATTTCTTTCCTAAAGAAAAAAATCCAAAAATACTTTAACTTATCTCTAACCCCTTTTTTAAAAAATCTAAAAAATATTTAACACATTTCAAACCTTTTTGCCACTCAACTTTTTAGTTTAAAACTTTTCAAAAAGGGTATGCTTCATAGCATCATCCATAAAAAACACATAACAAACAAAAAATATTTTTAAGAAATAAGATATTGAGTACCTTTCATGCCTAGATAACTTTTAGACGGTTCCCATCGAGTACGATGGATGTAAAGAGTGCTAGTACCTTCTCCTTAAATAACCGACTTTCGAACCCAACATGGTTGCGATGATCATACCCTATCCTTTTCTCGTAGGTTTTTTCGATATTTTTTCCTTTCCATTTGTGGGAATAAATAAAGTTCGATGGCGACTCTCTATTAGTCCATTCGCGAACTTTCTTCGCGATGTCGTATTTTTCGAGGTGCGACACATGCCTAACATAAATGTGACAAAAATAAAAATAAAAGTTTAAAAATTTTTAAAAAAAAATTTTAAAAAAAAATTCAGATAACTTAGGGATAACGAGTAAAGTTTCCGGAAGTCAAAAAATCAAAACCTAAACACTTTTACATAAATTATCCGAACTGCATAAAATACAAATCGGAGAACTTATGAATATGTTTTCCATAAATTATTATATAAATTGGATAACTCACGTACAAATTATCCAGTTTTTAAATTATATAACTGAATTTCTTCTACATGTTTTTTGGTTTGTAAATAATAAATTCTAGATTTTTTTTACCTAATGTTATTCGATTCACGTTATATATTTTTAAAAAAATATTTTTTTTTAATTATTAATTTGACTGTACAGTAAAAAAAACAAATAAAAATATTGAAATGTTTAAAAAAAGTTATAGAAGTATAGAGATAAGTGTGGGATATGGAGTAAAATTTTCTACTTTGTTTTGCTCGTTAATGCAATAGTTTTCACGTAAAATTTCCATTTCATTGTTCAGTTATATGAAATGAAGAGAAGATTATGAATGACATGAGTGGCTTCGCAGATAGAGTCGTGACACTGCTGAAATTTTCATGCCGTTCTCGTATTCACGTTAAACAAATTCAAGCGCAAATCATTCTTCACAACCTTCAATCAAACACCACAATCGCATACAACTTCATCACTGCATCTCAATCTCACAATCTTCTCAACTCTGTTACACCTCTCTTCACTCTCCTCATTCCAAAACCCCATGTTTTCATCTTCAACTCTCTCATAAGAGCTTTCTCCCATTCCCACATTCCCAATACCCCTCTCTCCCTATACTCCAACATGCACAAAAACTCCATCTTCCCCAACAATTTCACATTCCCTTTCCTCTTCAAATCTCTTTCCGACTCCCGCAGCTTCGTTCAATCCCAATGTGTCTACACCCATGTTGTGAAACTCGGTCATGGTAATGATGTTTATGTTAATAACTCTCTTCTTGACGTTTACGCTTCGGGTGGTTATGTTGCACTTTGTCGACAACTGTTTGATGAAATGCCTCAGAGAGATGTTGTGTCTTGGACTGTTTTGATTATGGGTTATCGCTTTGGTGGGATGTATGATGATGCATTGCTTGTGTTTGAACAGATGCAGTATGCGGGTGTGGTTCCGAATCGGGTTACGATGGTGAATGCTTTGGCTGCTTGTGCTAGCTCTGGTGCTGTTGAAATGGGGATTTGGATACATGATATGGTGAGGAGGAATGGGTGGGAGTTGGATGTGATTTTGGGGACGGCGTTGGTTGATATGTATGTGAAGTGTGGGAGAGTGGAAGATGGGTTGAGAGTTTTTAGTTATATGAAGGAAAAGAACGTGTTTACTTGGAATGCTGTTATTAAAGGGCTAGCTTTGGCTAAGAGTGGTGAGGAGGCTATTTTGTGGTTTAATAGGATGGAGTTTGATGGAGTTAGAGCAGATGAAGTCACTTTGGTTGCGATTCTTTCGGCGTGCAGTCATTCAGGTTTGGTGGATAAGGGTCAATTGATATTTAGTATGTTGGTTGATGGAAAGTATGGATTTTGTCCTAATGCCAAACATTATGCTTGTATGGTTGATCTCTTGGCTCGTGCTGGTCGATTGCAAGAGGCTTTTAAGATCATGAGATGTATGCCTTTTGAGCCGACAAAAGCTATGTGGGGATCGTTGTTGATTGGTTCAAAATTTCAGGGGAACTTTGAATTCAGCGAGTTTGTAGCTAGGAAACTAGTTGAGATGGAGCCAGATAACACTTCCTATTATGTTCAACTGTCGAATCTGTATGCAGAGGCGGGAAGATGGAACGATGTTGAGAGAGTAAGGGGAATAATGAAAGAGAGAGAACTGGCTAAGGACTTGGGTTGTAGTTCTGTGGAGGTCGAACACCAAAGGCCTGCCAGTGAAGTCTTGGCACTGTAACTCACTCGCCTAGCATTATTGTGAATCTTGTAAGCTGAGATGGAATGCTTGTCTCTTCCTCTAAACTTGATGTTCAAGGAACACCACCAAGCTAGCTGTTACTTCTGTTAGGGGGCTACTGTGCTATAATGTATATTTCTTGATGGATATTGGTGGTTATATGTCCATTGATATTGAAAATGGTAGGAATGTTTGTTCGGGTAAGTTTAGTTTCAAAAGTCTCTTGATAATTTAGTTTGCTAACATTTTACTTAGAAAGTAGACCATGTGCAAGTCAGTATTCCTGCAGAGTATCAGTATTTTGAGGTTATGGTTCGATTGATCTTAATAAGTAGGTTGATGGAAAGTATAGATTTTGTCCTAATGTCAAACACTTTGCTTTTATGTTTGATCTCTTGGCACATGCCGGTTGATTGCAAGAGGTTTTTGAGACCATTAGATGTACGCCTTTTGAGCCGACGAAAGCTATGTGGGGTTCGTTGTGTGTTTGTTACAAATCTCAGGTGACTTTGAATTCGGCGAGTTTGCAGTTAGGAAACTAGTTGAGATGGAGCCCGATAACACTGCTTGTTATGTTCAGCTGTCAAATTTATATGCAGAGGTGGGAGGATGAAGGAGAGAGTAAGGGGAATGATGAAAGAGAGAGTTAGGGGAATGATAAAAGAGAGAGAACTAACAAAGGACTTGCAGTGTAGTTTTGTGGAGGTTGAACACCAAAGGGATGCTAGTGAGTGAACTCTTGGCATAGAATTTAACAGTTGAGATGCTCTGATCAGATGACAACCATTGCAGCTTGACTTGTGGATCATTTGAGTTTGGATGATATTCTACACGTTTACTCGCTCAACATTTTTTATTACTGTACCTTATGAGAAATTTGTAAATGCAAATACTTTCTTATATTTGATGAAACAAAGGGCAAAAGTAATGAATTGGTTAAAAGTTTGAGAAATGTGCAAGTAATTGCAGATCATGCTTTTGATTCGTCTCCATGTTTGAGAAGATGCATCCAGGGTATGATTCGTCTCCATGTTTGAGAAGATGCATCCAGGGTAAAAGCATATGATTGTGTATAATATAAGTAGACAGCCAAGAATTAAATTGTCATGAAAAAAAGGTTTTTCATTAAACAGCATTTTACAGGACTTAGAAGCATTTGTTTGTTTCTGATTTTTACATTTGCTTCTAATTTACATGGCAATGCCTATGCTATAATGGCTTCTAATTTAGTTACACAATAAAATCACGAGATAATTTCCTGTGTGGTAAAAGAAACTCTAATGTTGTGTAACAGCTCCATAGTAACTACATGAATGGAATAAACAAATAGAACCTGAACTGAACTGAGGGCGTTATAAAAAAGATCTCTTGAAGCAATTTTATTAGCAAAATAAGGAAATCGATTAACAAAGTGGGTGGCAATATCTTACAACTAGGACTGTTCAAAAATACCACCTAACTGAACTGTCAACCAAACTGAACGACGCTTAAATGAACCAAACCATTCTGTTGAGTTCAAGAACCAAAACCGTGTTTTGGTGAGTTCAGGGCAATAAATTGAACAACTAGTTCACCAAACTGTTATGACATATCAGTTTGGTTCAGAACAAAATCTTAAAAGTTCAGTTTATTTTCTTTTAACTATTTGAGACAGTTTTGTTTGGTTAGGTTCAGTTTCTCTCCAAACCATGAACTATGCACCACAAATATAATTGATGCATCTATAACTATAAGGGTTTTCGTCCTGCTAGAAGTTCTTTGTTCATGTATTGAAGATGCCAATCATTTGGTATTTTTTTCCTAATTTTTTTATATAATTTGAAAAGCAAAGTACTGTGTGAGTAGCAGGATAAGCATCGAGCCATGTTTGATAATGAGTATAAAAACCTGTTACTTGAAAGGAATGACAAGATGTAAGGAAAGTGAGTGCATGCTATACCACAGCTTTCAATATAAAAAATAGTGTATATAATTACAACATTACAATAGAAGCAACAAGGTCAAACCAGAGTTCGCAATAATGATGTCTGCGTTACTTCAGCCTCCCATCTATTACTAATTACACTCCCCATCTATTTCTACTATTATTCCACAATGAGAATTCCTGTAGAACAACCCTGACTAAAAGATAAGCGTCAAACACTACAGGATTTCGTTTCATCTCACAAGGTTGTTTCTGACATTAAAATGTTATGAAATTCAAGCTGGGTCATTTCACCTCCTTGCGCTGGATCGAATTGGCATTTGTAGAAGCTGCACAGAATATAACCGATCATTAACATCATATAATATAAAGTTCACCTTTTCTTGTTCAACTTTTTCCATATTACATTTAATCTTAAAATTAGAAAGTATGACGCAGTAGCAACAAACATAACAAATATCAGTCTTTCTTCAAATCCTCAACTAAGTAATACTTGAAAGAAATAACACTATCAACTATAGATTAAAAGAATATCTATAGTCTAAAACTTAGACAAGATATATTATTTGTCACTTCCTCATATCATACCTTCCATCCATGCCAAGAATTATGACTGTATTCTTTTCGACACCAAATGCAACTGTGTACTGAGTGCCCTCGTGCAAGTGAAACCGGGCAACAGACCACTCTGAATTGAAATACTTGGGCAACACTCCTGCAGGTGCATAGTAACATTCGAGCATCAAGAACAACAGCTAATCGAATTAACAACTATTTCGCTTTGTAACCGAGAAAAAAATAGATCATAAAACTAAAACAGGATCAATATAGAAAGAAATACTCAAGTTGATAAAAATTAAAACAGCAAAAAAATTTTACCTTTAAATTTAATGAAGGAGCGAGACGAGCTAGATGGGGCAATGGCGGCATCTGAACTAGACGGCCCATGGGAGCTTTCATTCTCAGGGACATTGGGATTAACCTTAAGGCCAAAAACATGGACAGTGCCCTTGTCACTAGAAACTGCTAACCACTTAGCAGTGGAAGAAAACGCCAAACTATATATCTCTGCTGCATTTGCACCTCTTCTTACCTAAAATCAATATCCAATAAACTTATACAAGAAAACCAAAATGTCTCAAATCTCAATAGCCCACATATTAAATTCAAATCTTCAAAGCACAGAACATTAATAAAGCAACAAACATAGACATTAAACCTTAATTGTATCTAATCCAATTAAAGAAACATGATTAATCAACAACTAACATCACACAATTGACTTGTCATAGCACAAACCTCCTGAAGTAGTGTGCCGAGTTCGGCATCATAAATCCGAATCAGAGTACCCTTGGTGCTGGCAGTGGCGATAAACTGTCCATCAAGCGTGAGAGCGAAGCAAGCTATTCTCGAATCATGAGCAGAAATAAACTTGGTCCTCTTCTGCAAAAAATGCTCAATACGAATTTGGCCTTTATGCAAACCAGGGCAAGCGAGAACAAGAGAATCAGTCAAGTGTGAAACTTCACAAAGCCCCTTAGGGTTCGCAATGGTTTCAATCTGATGCAACAGCTTCAAGTCAGCAAAATTATACACGAATATCTTCTGCTCCACCACGACGATTATCCGATCTCGCCGAAGCCGAACACCGCTAACCGGAGAACGGAACGAGAGTTCACCGATGCACGTACCTTGATGATCATCCCAGATCATGACTTTAGTGGGAGGGTACTGAGGGTGAGACCCACCGCCGACAAGTGCTAATATGTTACATCGGAAAAGCATCTCGACGTGGCCGATTCCTCCGCCACCGAATTCCCGGCGAAAAAGCTCGCGGAAAGGGTCGCAGTTATATATGCGAAAGCCGTTATCAGTGGCGGCAGCGAAGCAGGCGTGGTCCTGGTTAAAGGAGAGTTGAAGAAGCGACGGTGGTGTGGTAGGAGGAGACTCCGGTGAATCGGTGGAAGCGTGGTGAGATTGGGGAGACATTAGGGAATCGAAGTCGAGGGTTTGAGATTGATCAGGATGGAAATTAGGGTTTGGGATTGAATTGAGATTAGGGTTAGGCCAAGGTGGAGAAGGGGAAGCAGGAAGAGTGGCCATTGAAGTGGAAAATTGATTCGAAGCTTTGTTCTCCCGCTAAGGAAGAAAAATTAATGCTATGTGGTTTTTTTTGTTCAGTTAGTTAGCAGAAAGAAGAAGATTTAAATACTGAAAAAAACTTTAAAAATTACAAAATTTACGCCGTTGCCGGGGATCGAACCCGGGTCACCCGCGTGACAGGCGGGAATACTCACCACTATACTACAACGACTTGATGTTAAAAATTTCATTTATTTAGATAATAACGTTACTTTAAACACTTCCATCATTCGTAACAACCTTAAGCTTTGTTTTACTTTACCCTCAAACTCTTGTCTTTATTATTCTTTCTGACGCACGAACCTGTGGTACAAGTGGATTTTTTTTATATTTTGAAATATCAATAAGTTTGTAACACATATAAAACATGTAATTGTGGCATCCTATCCACAAAAACTGTTATTATAAATAACATTTTTTTTAATACTGTAGTTTAGGGAAAAAAAAATATATATAAAGATTTGACATAAATTTACATCGATGATGATAATGAGGAAATGTGTTATACCATGTTTAATTATATAATGTAGAAAAATGTGACAGTGTGAATTTTAAAGAATGATCAAATGCTATGAAAATTTGTCATATGCTAATTTTGTGTGCACTTTTCAGTAAAATGGCAAATTCTTAACTACCTAGCTGGGTATCGGTATCTAAAATGATTTAAAATATTAACTTATTTTTAAATAAAAGATTTATACAAGATAACGTAATATTGAATGGAATTATTTTATTGAATAAAAATACTGGTATCCAATTATGGCCAAAGTTCAAGGAAATTATATAAAAAGCATGGAAGAAAAGTATACTTGATTCTGCTGCAACATTCAAATAACTTCTCATTATCGTTTCTGCCACAACAAGAAAAGGATTGTGTGTCATATGAAATGATCATTTTATCAAAACTATAAAGATTAATTAAGCTATATATAATGTGCAAATACAACCAAATAAAATCACAAACAATCTCTTCCTTGTTAACAACATAAAACTGAATAAATTATACAGAATCAGTGAAGGTTTGAATATTTAAGAAAACACCAAAATCCAGAATAAAAATCTTCCCTAGAATGCCTACCACATCAATCACGGAGATGAAAACTGCTGGTCAGGTGCTGCCTACCACACCCATGAAAGGTGATTCATGTAACTAACAATTTACGCTTGTTTGTTTTGGATTCTGTTCATTAATTGATTTTTTGATAATCTATATATTTTCTTATAGGAAGAAAAGCTCCACCAAGTCATTTTACATTCAAAATTCAGTCCTTCTCATTGCTTTCAAAGGCCTCCATTGAAAAATGTGTCTCAGAAGAGTTTGAAGCAGGAGGTTATAAATGGTATGCAAATTATTTTTGGCCTTAAATACTCGCAACGACACTTTATATTAAAAACATGTCTGGTGTCTGATCATCGCCCATTGCGCAGGAGTCTATCTATTTACCCAACTGGGAACAGAAAAGGAAATGGACAAGGTCATGTTTCTATTTATTTGATGCTTATGGACACAACTTCATTACCTAATGATTGGGAAATCAACGCGATTATAAACTTTTCTGCATACAATTTTAGTGACGACGAGTATGTTACAACACATGGTAATACAATTAAACTTATCAAACATATAACACTAAATTTATCAGAATTGAGTAATTTTTAGTGCTCATAAAATAATACACTTCATGCAGATGCAACTGTTAGGCGTTTTCATGTCATGAAAACAGAATGGGGTATCTCGAAATTCATCAACCTTGAAACATTTCTAGACCCTTCAAATGGATATCTGAATGACGATGATTGCGTTTTCGGAGCCGAAGTTTTCATCGTGAAGACCACTAATAAAGGCGATTGCTTATCGATGATACAAGAATCTGCCACAGTTTCATATAGCTGGAAATTTAGCAAATTTTCATCTGCAAATTTGGACAAGTATGAGTCTGAATCATTTGTAGCTGGAGACTATAAATGGTACGTAAATAGTGAAATTCTTATCATTTATCAACCCTAAACCCTAAACTATAAACGCTAATGATAACATACATCAACTTTTCATATAAGTTATTTGCTTGTTTTTACTAGGAAGCTTCTGTTATACCCTAACGGAGTAGTTGAAGGAAAGGGTATATGCGTTTCATTATTTTTAGCTTTGGATGCTTCAACTCTTCCAGCTAACACTAAACTTGTTGTGGAATGCACTCTTCGTGCCAAAGACCAAATCAGCGGCCAACATGCTCAACGAAAATGTAAGCATGTATATGTTTTCTTAACGATTGTTGCTTCTCAATCAAGTCTTCAACTATTTATTTTACCTTAATCTAATTTTTGTTACAGTTAATCGCAAATTCTCCAGCTCAAATTTAGTGTGGGGGTCTAGACAACTTGTGACTTTGACTAAGCTAAAAAATCTGAGTAATGGGTTTTTGGTGGAAGATAATTGTATATTTGAAGTTGAGTTTTTAGTTGTTGGATTAGTTACACCTAGAATTGATTGATGTAATTATATATCAATGTCAATTTATGATTATGGATTCCTGCTGAGATCTGTGCTCATTTGCAAGTAACTCAGTCATAAAATCTCTAAAAATGCATTTTAATGATACTCCAAAACTCTACCACAAAACCAAAGTTAACACCATATAGACTGGGAACTTTTGTAGCTATCACATTACAACACTGTTTATCCTTTCAAATTTTAACTCTTTTAATCATTAGATAAATTATAGTACCCTATTAGAAATTACTTTATTAAAATGAGAACAAAAGGTATACATGCTCACATGCAAAAGAATCTAATTCAAAGATATAATTAGTCACGTACTTCTTTAAATTTTCATTTCTAAACAAGCAAGAAAAATCTACATAATAATTAGTTCTGTATGAAATCTTAGAGGAACAAGTTCATGTATGTGCTAGAACCGGTTTACCCCCAAGATCTAACTAACTCTAATAAACTATGTGTATATATAGCCTTGTATAAGTTATATCTATAATTCTTCTATGAAACAGAAATAGTTTTCATTACTCTTCTCTTTCTTCTTGTTAGTTTTATGATTTTGACCTACCGTAGCAAGTGAGGTTTCTGTTATCAACAATCATGTTAAATTAATCGGTTATCCACATTAGTAAAATCATGGTCCAATCTTTTAGACAGGAATCAAGCATTAATCCTTTTATAAAACTGAATTGAATTTTCTACCAATATAGTATTAATTTCAATCAATTTCACAGAGTATCAGGGCTTTTGGTAGAAGTATTAAATCTTAACTACAGATATCAACTCATTATATATTTGAACTCTAAACATGAATTGAAGGTAGTAGAGATCCAACCAAATCATAGGTACTTGTAAACATTCAAGTCTCTTATACAGATGTAAATTGGAATCAAATTGATCTCAGACATGTATTATTATTACCTAACATGACAGCCCACTTTTAGCCAAAGTTTTAACTCAATATGATGTTATGTCAAAAAACAATAGAATAAACACATACTTTTAGCCAAAGTAGAATATAGAATTTAACATCATAAGAAAATGTCATTGTTTAACTGTTCTAATTTCAAGAACTTCAACTCACATATCTTTTTTTTTATAAAAAAAACTCATTCATAGTTAAGGATTGTCTAACTTAAGATAAAGAAGGTATACATGCTCACATGCAAAAGAATCTAATTCAAAGATATACTGTTAATCTGTTTTAGATGAAAGTAATATGTTAATTTGTTACTCTCATCTAAAAAGAAACACATACTTATTCTTAGACTTTTTATTCACCATCAAACACATACTTATTTTTATTGATTGACTAACCACGGCCTACTTGGCCAAAGACTAGTTAATGGATATATTATATAGTTGCACAAATGAACCAAAAATGTATGTCAAACAAATGAAATTCTATTATAAAAGTAAATTACAAGTTTCACTTTAACATTGGAGGAAAGTGAAATGATGATAAAGGCATAACAAATCTAGTAAGAATTGCTACACAAATCTAGTACAAAGAAAGAATTTTCAAGAGAAACAAATAAAATTAACAAATAGGAAGAGGAGCACCGTTCCAGTCTCCCAAGCATTTAAGAAGGGGATCAATGATTTTTCCTTGGCAAATAGCTGTGAATAGTTTGTCACACTCCTCACCTGGTGAAATCACATTTTCTCCTGTCAGCAAACCAGTCCCCAACTCTTCTCTCACAAACTTGTAAAGTGGATAAGATCTGCATCCATTTATCTTGTTTGGAACTCTAGGATTTCCACTCTCATATGCAGCCCTTGCACTTTCAACCTCTTTTGGCAAGAGGGTCTTCAACTCATCCTCAAAAGTTGCAATCTTTTGGAAGATTGATGTGTTCAAGTTCTTCTCACTTTCTCCATTTACTAATGCATGTTCCACTAACACTTGCCTTAGTTTTTGCATCAACGGATATGTAGCACTACAAGCATCATCAATATAGGCAAACACATGCTCCCTATCAACCACTCTCAACAAGTCCTTTTCACAAAACCTTGAAGGATGGAGTTCTCCATTGACACCAGTTGTAAGGGTCCGTTTAGCAACTTGGCTTACAATGTTCTTAACTGAGTTTTTCAAGTTCTCTTCCAAATGTCTTAAGTCAATTGCTTGGCAGAGTGCAATCAAGAATGTGGAAGACATGAGTTGAAGTATCTCAACGGCTTCATATGTTTTCCTAGATGAAATCAAACCCAAGGAGTTGACATCTTGGTTGTGTTGCTCGGCACTTTGAACATGAGTTGTGACCGGATTTGCAAGGTACTGTAACTCGGAACAATAAGAAGCCATGGCAATTTCAGATCCTTTGAAACCGTAATCCAAGCTGGGATTTCTACTGGCAGAGAGATTTGAAGGCAAACCGTTGTTGTAAAAATCATTGACAAGCTCGGAGAATTGAGCAAACATGAGCTTACCGATTGATGCAAGAGCCAAACGTGTATTATCCAT